TAACACCATGTTTCCTGATGATATGTAAAGCGTGAAAAGCAACGGTCCTAGTACTGAGCCTTGTGGTACTCCATACTGCATTTGTGAATGATTTGATACTTCTTCATTCATTGCTATGAATTGATGATGGTCAGATAAGTATGATGTTAACCATGCCAATGCAATTCCACTAATGCCAACATAATTTTCTAGTCTATTCAAAAGAATGTTGTGGTTGATAGTTTCAAATGCAGCGCTAAGATCAAGTAGCACTAATAGAGAGATACAACCACGATCGGATGATAAGAGCAGGTCATTTGTAACTCAGATGAGAGCAGTCTCAGTACTATGAATCAGTCTAGATCCTGACTGGAAAACCTAACAAATACCATTTTTCTCTAAGAAAGATCAGTTGTGAGGATACTACTTTTTCTAGTATCTTTGACAGAAAAGGTAGATTTGAGATCGGTCTGTAATTAACTAATTCTCCAGGATCAAGTTGTGTGTGTGTTTTTTTACACAGGCTCCGGGTGTGCCATGAAAGTGTTCACAAGAATCAGTCTAGATCCTGACTGGAAAACCTAACAAATACCATTTTTCTCTAAGAAAGATCAGTTGTGAGGATACTACTTTTTCTAGTATCTTTGACAGAAAAGGTAGATTTGAGATCGGTCTGTAATTAACTAATTCTCCAGGATCAAGTTGTGTGTGTGTTTTTTTACACAGGCTGGACTGAAAAAAGTGGAACTCCAATTAGTAATACACCTAGTAAACTATACTCAAATGCAGCAAATGCCATTTAAATATTTATTTAAACATTTCAGTCTGCTTATAAACAACAGTCAACATTTTTCGCTATAATAAATGTTATTACAGTTTGAGAAGATTCTTCTCGTGAACAAATAGTACATTTTGCACATTATAAAAAGTATTTTGGGAAGTTGCTTACTGAAATCATGACATCAGTAACAGATTACTGTTTTGTTAACTTACTAGTTCCATATCTGACTGCAACCATCTGCAAACACTGAAAAAACAGAAGTTTGCTCATGTCAAGTGAAGGTCAATGTTAGTAAATCAGTCACTGAACGCCCTTCTTCCCCAAATGTTTCATTTTAAGATTACACAACTCAAGACTCCTCATCACTTTCATCATCTTCCTCTTTACTCTTCTGTTCTTTCTCCTCACCATCATCTTCTTCCTCTGATGTCTCGTCATTGTCATCATCCTCAGCCCTGAGTGTACAAACCCACATGGGTCACTTCAACTGACTTCAATTTGAAATTAAATATTTTAACATTTAAACACAAGTTTATAACAAAATGAGAAAAAACAGTCTCACTGGACTGGTCTGTTGAGATTCACAAAGTCCCTTCCTGAGTCCACATCGAAAGGATCTGGAATTTTTTTTTAAAAACACACACAAAAACATCAAAGTTAGTATTTTCAAAACATTTACAGTAAATGTGACTATATTAAATCATTGCATGAACTCTACCTATATCCTCTTCCTGAGGGGCGGCACTGAGAAACTCTTTCTCCACAGCCAGTAGTCAAGTTTATAACAAAATGAGAAAAAACAGTCTCACTGGACTGGTCTGTTGAGATTCACAAAGTCCCTTCCTGAGTCCACATCGAAAGGATCTGGAATTTTTTTTTAAAAACACACACAAAAACATCAAAGTTAGTATTTTCAAAACATTTACAGTAAATGTGACTATATTAAATCATTGCATGAACTCTACCTATATCCTCTTCCTGAGGGGCGGCACTGAGAAACTCTTTCTCCACAGCCAGTAGTTCCTCTTCTGATTGGCTGGATGCATAACGCTCTAGAAGAGTCTTATTCAGCTCCAAAAATCCCAAACCCCACTTAAACTTCCTCAGCAGGAGCACAGCAAGGTCACGAAATCCTGATGCATGATCACATAGACACACATACACATGTCAACATCTAGCAAATTTGCACAATTTAATCTCAGCTGCTGCTATTAAACTGTACTCCTGTTCACAAATTTGGGGTCAATAAGATTTTTTGAATGCTTTTAAAAGAAGTCTCTTATGCTCACCAAGGCTGCATTTGTTTGATCAAAAATACAGTAAAAACAGTAACATTAATATTAACTAATGAAACCATGTTGTAAAGTGTTTTATTCAATAAAGTAAAACTGCACACTCATTTAAGCATTGTTTATTAGTTTCAGCAAAACAAGTAGCTTTTGTCAAGGTATGAGGTGTTTATTAAGGTATGAAGTGTTTTATTACCATGATAATATTTTGTCGGAGTAGTTGCAGCATATGAAAATAGAACAAAACATTCTCTAGTTCAAAAGTTTAAGATTTTTTATGTTTTTAAAGAAGTCTTCTGCTCACCAAGGATGTATTTATTGGAACCAAAATACAGTAAAAACAGTAATATTGTAAAAAATCATTAGAATTAAAATGTTCTATTTTAATATATTTTAAAATGTAAATTAATCTTGTGACACAAAGCTGAATTTTCAGCATAATTACTCCAGTCTTCAGTGTCACATGATCCTTCAGAAATCATTCTAATATGCTGATTTGCTGTTCAAGAAACATTTATTATTATTATCAATGCTGAAAACAGTTGTGCTGTTTCATAGTTTTGTGAAAGAAGTGACATTTTTTCAGGATTCTTTGATGAATGAAAGTTTAAAAAAATAGCATACAGACATACAAAACCCACACACGATAGCAGCAACAGAGAAACCAATAGCTGAGATCTGCTTACCCACAATACAGAAAGTGGCGGCATAAGCCTCAACGCAAGACAGCTTGCATGGCTTTCCGTAGTTTACAGGATTTGCTGCGACCAAGTACGGCAAAAGCCTCGGATGTGAGCCAATCATTTTGCTGAATGGCGTGTCTTCAAGTCGCGCCCATGAACATTTTTGTGAAAGAAGTGACATTTTTTTAGGATTCTTTCATGAATGAAAGTTAAAAAAAATAGCATACAGACATACAAAACCCACACACGATAGCAGCAACAGAGAAACCAATAGCTGAGATCTGCTTACCCACAATACAGAAAGTGGCGGCATAAGCCTCAACGCAAGACAGCTTGCATGGCTTTCCGTAGTTTACAGGATTTGCTGCGACCAAGTACGGCAAAAGCCTCGGATGTGAGCCAATCATTTTGCTGAAAGGCGTGTCTTCAAGTCGCGCCCATGAACAGTCAATCACGGCTAGACCACCCTGTGCCACAATCTCCCTGGAAATGAAGAATATTATAGGTTAAGAACTGAGAGAAATGTTTGTGTTTTTTTAACATTTTTATCTACACTACCATTAAAAAGTTTAGGGTCGGTACGATTTCTTAAGTCTCTTATGTTTACCAGGCAGTATTAATTTGATCAAAAATACAGTAAAAAATTTGAAATATTATTACAATTTAAAATAACTGTTTTCTATTTGAATATATTTTAAAATGTAATTTATTCCTGTGATGCAAAGCTGAATTTTCAGCATCATACTCCAGTCTTCAGCGTCACATGATCCTTCAGAAATTATCCTAATATGCTGATTTGCTGCTCAAGAAACATTTCTGATTATTATTACTGTTGTAAACCGATTCTTTGATGAATAGAAAGTTCAAAAGAACAGCATTTATTATCAAATGATATTTGTCTTCTTTACTTGAAATTGTAACTTTTCTGTCACTTTTGGTGAATTGAATCCATCTTTGAGTAAGATTTGGGAAAAAAATGATGGATTTTATAAAGCAAAGCAAATAATGATTTTGTGAAAATGCTTGCTGTGGCCCACCTGTCTGCAGGTGTAACGTATTTGATTCCCATCGGGCTGAGTATCAGGCCATTGAAGCGCTGGTTGAGTCGCAGGCAGCGCACAAACCCTTTCCTGGCCAGCTTCCGTCCTGTACACCGTTTCGGGTCACAGTGACCCAAATCCCACATGGCCAACTGACAGGGCAACTTCACACCTCCTGCCGCCTCTGAATCCGCATCCTCACTGGCTGAAACACACACACAACTTCAATATTCATAACTCATGTCTGTCAAGCTTTACTACAGAAATTTAAAGAGAGTAATTCACTTGATGACATGAATCTAAGTTCATATGTTTCAATAAAATGACAACATTACATCCATCCATATGTTCATCCAAACTGACACCACACTTCTTTCACAGACCTTGCAGAGCCTCATGCATCTCCTCTGTGAAAGTTTCTAATGATTTCCCCTTCATCCTGTGTCGTGTGTCTTTGCCCTTGTGAACGGGTCGCTCACATTTACCCTGTTTTTTACGTCCCATGTCTGAACTTTTGTCCACCTTACTTTTGTTTTTAGCAATAACTTTAACTTTCACACGCGTGTATGGTTTGACTATATTATAACAACCACCTTACATCCTACAAACACACCAATAATGCATCTACTTTACGCTGAATCATGGCATGAACGGCATAAACATAAATTTATAAGGTTTTAGAGCAAATCCCAAAGTTTCATTCCGACACGCTGTTTCTCGAGGCCAAAACACGGTGACGTAATAAACATGGCTGTTACTGTAACAAAGCACAAAATACGCAAATTTATTGAAATTACATCAATACGAATATAATATTGATTTAATTGAGGCTATACAATACAAATTAAAATTTTCAGTTCAATACTATGAACGAGTTATACAAAACAGACACATAATAATCGATAAAGTAAAAACGGAAGAGGACTTTTATTTAGGCAGAATTTCACTCCGGAAATGTCGAATTATATTTTTTGGTTTACGGACATCGCCGCATTTCGAACATTCACGAACGTTTATATATATATAAACGTTCGTGAATGTTCGAAATGCGGCGATGTCCGTAAACCAAAAAATATAATTCGACATTTCCGGAGTGAAATTCTGCCTAAATAAAAGTCCTCTTCCGTTTTTACTTTATCGATTATTATGTGTATATATATATATATATCGTCTTTGTGTTTAATATAAGCAACAAAGGGGACACATTTATGGCAATTAAATATAATTATATCTGCGTATCTGATAAAACTATTAAATAGTATGTCTTGCATCGATAATCGCTGCATTTTACACGTATCAAGTTCATAAAACATAACATCATCTTCCGCAGCTGAGCTCTTCGCTTCGGTAATGTTTTTAGTTCTGTCACATGAACAGACAGAAAAGAGATCAAACAGAAATGTAAATACTCAGAAACCCACGATTTGAAGAGTTATGGAGTGTGTATATTTAAAATTGTGCCTGTTGTATCTGACAGCACTGGGTGAGCGTTATAGATTGAGTCTTGTTTTATTGCATGATTAGATCATCTGATCAAAACAGTGTTGTTGAATGCGGAACTGAAACTGTTCAATGTGTTTGTTCACAAAGGCCTCCTTATTTGCTTTACATACAATTTTTTCATGTTGTTTTTAGGGTGCTTAGTTGATAATAATAATGTCAGTGTCCACTTTGTGGTGTTTTTTTCAGTGGCTGTCACATCAGGAGGGAAGATGAAGATAGTGGAGGAACCTAATACATTTGGGTGAGATTTCCAGCAAACCCTATGAAATTTTTCAGATCAAATATAAGATGCATTCATACAACAGACTCGTCATATTCTTCTAACTTTGATTTTTCAGGCTGAATAATCAGCTTGTGTCTCAGATTAGTCGACTGCAGGCGAAGATCAGCCCATCTCCAGTGTCTGGACCTCCACATCTGCACAGACTGGCAGGGAAATGCTACAACTACATTGAAGCCACGTCAGTAACATCTGCACAACTTTAAACACTATGAGAAGTTGTATTTAAAAAGTATATTAGCTTCATATACACCTTTCCTTGATTCTTCTTCTATACTGTTACATATAAAAGAGACCGGGGCTAGTTGTCACAGGGACTGCATCTCGATAAATAAGTTTGAGCCAAAAATTCAATTACATAAATGCTTGTTTTAGCCAATAGTTGTTTTGTGTGTTGGTTTCAAACACCTAGTCCTAGTTAAAAAAAAAAAAAAAAAAAGCATCTTAAATTAGTACAATTTTTGTGATTTTTTTCCTAACTAAAATGTAAATATTATTTTTTTATGATTATTTTTTAAATCCACTGGGTATCAAGTGAAAACTATAAAACCACACTGAAATGTGGTTTATGTTCCTATGCCATAGGATTCCATAGGAACCTATATTAGGTTCCTGTGCTTTGGAGATGGATTTTAACTGAAAACTGTGTACTTGTTATGGTATATTTCATAAATATCAGATCAGGGCATTTGTTTCTGCCACAGGATGAAAAAATAAAAAAGGTAATTGCGACTTCACAATTCTGAATTGTGAGATGTAAACTTGCAATTACAAGTTTATAACTTGTAATTGCGGGATGTAAGTCAGTATTGTCACGTAAAAAGTCGCAGTTACCTGTTTTATTTTTTTTAGTCCATAGCAGAAACAAGTAAGTAATTGTGTGCAATTAAAAGAAACCGATTATTATTTCTTTTTTTTTAGATACAAATACGTGTTTTGTCCATTTCATAATGTGACTCAGCATGAACAGAGTTTCAGATGGAACGCATACAGCGGTATACTGGGGTAACGATCTTTATAAAAGCTTTGTTCTATTTAGTTTAGCTAACTAAATATAAACTGTATTATGTGAAATGGTGTGTGTGTGTAGTATTTGGCAGGAATGGGAGATTCAGAATAACACATTTACTGGCATGTGGATGCGAGAAGGAGATTCATGCGGAAACAAGAACAGACAGACCAAGGTCTTTATTGCATCTACACTCTATGTGTTCATTGTAATGTGAGTTTATGGATACGTTACGAATGTAGCTGTATCTGGAAGCAGGTTTTCTGCCAGTAAATGGTGACGTGTGATGGATGTTGAGATGTTATGTCTATATTCAAGGTTCTCCTGGTCTGTGGGAATAGCAGCAAACTGGCGAGTGTTTCAGAGCCACAGACGTGTGTTTATTCTCTGACGTTTGAGACGCCACTAGTTTGCCATTCACACTCCCTCTTAGGTGAGTCTTTGAAAATCAACGAACCCACTAGTTAGTTTAACACCTATCTACAATGTGCCTTGTCTGATTGTTCGCTTGTGTTTCAGTGTATCCGGTTTTGAGTGAGGCGTTACAGAAGGAGTGGGATGAAATTGCTCAAGCTCGATATGAAGATCTCATCACAGAACAGGTGACAAACAAACACATAATGTTACAATCTTCATGCATCTGAGAACATCATAATAATACGTGTTTGTGTGTGTTTAGGGTTATAATAAGCTGCTGAAGGAGCTGTTTGAAGAGGCTGGTCTCCTGAGAAAAGCTCAACAGCCGAAACCAGAGAAGAGCACGACGTCTCTCACACATCTGAGTCTGGAGCAGTGCACACAAGTCAGACAGACAAATATTCAAGCCTAAATCTAAGATTTATGTATTTGAGTTGCATTTAACATGTCCATCCGAACAGTTTCAAACAGATTAATAAATGTAATGTGATGAATATTAATCAGTCATACATAAATGAAAGAGGTAGCACTCACCTCAAGCACTCAAAAAAAATCATGGCGTAGTTTATATTTTATTTTATTTTATTAAAATAGTCATATTTTCAAATTGCATTTATTCACATTGCTTAGAATCAGTTCTTTGTAAAAACAATTTAATTTATTCATCTAAAAAGTATGAACATGGTTAAAATATGGCTAACTGTGGAACAAGCAATGTTCAGTTAAAATGCATGAGTTGTTTGAAACCAATTGGATTTAATTATGATAAATATATACAACCTGGTTATTGCCTATTAAAAAATGCATTCAGCTTATTAGTACTATTACAGAAATCGTACCCGTTTCATTGATGTATGACTGACAAATATGCATCACATTGAGTTTAGCAGTTTGTTAACCGTGTAATACAAATGTAAAATTCATAAATCTTAAATTTAGGTCTAAATGTTTTGTGCAGGACACGTGCTCTGCGCTCGGCTTCAATTTTGCGCGTGCTTTCAGCATGTGTGTTTATTTTAACAGGATTTTGAAAAGCAGAGAGCTGAGATAGAGCGGCTACAATCACTCTTAACACAACATAACATCTCCTACCAGACGACAACAGGTGAGACACGTGCTCATCTAATGGACTCAGTGAACACCAAAAAGTTACTTAAAATGACTGAATGTATCAAATCATTTCTTTATCTTAAAAAAGATAACTAAACTTTTCACAAAAAGACGTTTATTGATGACCTTAAAGGGATAGTTCAATAATTCTAAGTCATTTATTCTGTCAGAATTAGCATTTTTGGGTGAACTATCCCTTTAAGGTGCATTACTGGTGCTCAAACAGGTTAAGTGCAGCAGTTAAATTCTTCCTGCTCTTTCAGGCAGGACACGGGATCAGGGTCCCTCACCCGTCCAGGACCAGCACCTCCGCGGCGACACTGGCTTTATCGCTGATCTGCACTAAGATGCCCAGCAGGATCACAGAACATACGGCTAATCATTCAGGAAAATAATGCTACTGTGAGATAATGGTATTTAGTGATTTTTAAATTTTACCTGATAATGTATTATGAAAAATAAAGTATTTATGTATTATGAAATATTTTATGAAATTACAATGATACTGTTGTGCTATCAGTTTTTAAAGGTGATGGCATGTCATTCTTTTTTTTTTTGCATTTTTGTTTGCGTAAAAACATCGTCTCTGTGGTACTATGAAAACATCGTGCTTTGTTGTTTGAACATCAAGACCAGCCTGAGGGGCCATTCACACACAATGTGTTTTTCCATTCATAAAACATGAGATGCAAGATGACCTTCTTACAAGTTTTAACTTTTTGCAACTTGGGCGCTGCATCTTTAGAATGCAGTGTTATGTGCGGGACACTAAAAAAGACATGAGTGCAACTGTCAAAAACATCTGTCTAGTGCATGTTTACATAGAAAAACTGCACGAACAACCCCTGAGCAACGTTGGCTCAACTAATAGTGAGTGTATTTTTCTGCAAGCTAATTTTATTATCCAGACTTATATGTTAACATGAAATATTATATTACATGGAGTTAAGCCCCATTCACACCAAGAACGATAACTATAACGATAACGATATTAGAGTCCACACCAGCGAACAATATCGTCTGTTTATTCTAAACGCACGCTCGTCTGTCACTTTAAATTCTCCAGCTTTTTTTATCGTTCATCAGATGAAAAAAAAAATCGTTTTGAAAGTGATTCCAACGATACCATTTCTCTTTGTCTTTATCGTTATAGTTGTGGTGTGGACCCTGCTATTCTTTAATATTGAGAACGATTTTTAGAACTATATCTTTATCGTTAATCTTTATAGTTATCGTCCTTGGTGTGAACAGGGCTTAACTCAGGGTATTCCATGAATAAAAGTTGGGTGGGATTTTATTTTGTATTTTAGTTGGATTGTGGGTGTTATTTAATTTAATTAATTAATTTACTAATCAGTAAAACAGTGTCTTGAACTGGACTGACACCTACTGGCATGGATGTAGATTCACATAAAAGTTCTCCATGCTGTGGTAGAAATACTCTAGCCTTAATCACAAGTGTATTTGTCACCCATAATTTATTCTGCAACTGAAAGTTTCAATAACAGTCTCAACATGGCAGCTGCCATAAGGGCGGACCACCCTTCATGTAGATCGAACCAGCTTTTTCAAGGCCACTAATATGAATGGAGTCTTCATCTCATGTGAGTATTCATCATTCAGTGTTGTGGGGTAATATATTAAAAGTAACGCAATTTACGTAATCAGATTACTTTTTTCAAGTAACTAGTAAAGTAACGCATTACTTTTTAATTTACAAGAGAATATCTGAGTTACTTTTTCAAATAAGTAACGCAAGTTACTTTTTTTTTTTTTTCAATTTATTGACAGCTCTCCTGTCCCCATGTTGAGAGAAATCAGAAGATGTTACTGTAGTTCAAAATAAATATGAATATGAATTAATTCATCTCTAACCAATGTTTTTGCTTCTGTCCTTCGATGATCCAGTTCAACCATACTAAGCAAAAATTACTCTAGACAAACATTTGTGTCTTTTTTTATTGCTGAAGTGTGTTGAAATTTCTTCTTCTGCATTCTACTGTACGGACGTACATTTACTTTCCCTTCAGCCTGAGGCTTATTCATTTCACTTTTCGTGTGAATAGGCTTTTATATTTGCCAAAAATATAACTTTTTTTATTTTAAAAACAAACAAGCAAGCCCTGTCCATATTTTTAAAAGTAACGCAAAAGTAACGTAACACATTACTTTCCATAAAAAGTAACTAAGCACCGTAACTAGTTACTTTTTTATGGAGTAACGCAATATTGTAATGCATTACTTTTAAAAGTAACTTTCCCCAACACTGAATATTTGCATTATTATTATATTATTAGAAGTATAATAGCCTACATTTCTAAATTGATGTACCTTTAAAACCAAAAGCTAGTTGTTTAGGCTAGCCTTGTTTTATTATGAAATCGCAGAGAATAGAGACTTGAATTCATAACTTTGATTTGCTCTGGGAACGTGTGGATCCAGTATTGAGGTTTGATTCGTGAACAAAACGTTGTTGGAACTTTTTAAATTATAATAGTGATAGTAAATCTTTCGACTGAAGGAGCACATTTGAAGTACACCTTTTTGGCGGGAACATAATTTAAATAACCCATTCAAAAACGTAAAGCGTAAATGTATTTTACTATAAAAACGAACACCTCGTTTGGGAACTCTTTTGAGTGATGACTCGTTTGATTGATGAATCAATCTGTCAACCGCGTTAAAATGAACTGTCCGAACGAACCGATTCGCTACCATGACTCGTACTTGCTACAATCCGGTAGCTTGAGATTTGATAAACTCTTTCTGAACCACTAGATGGCAGGATCCAAAGCTCTGTCGTTTTCACATTTCAGCCCAGTTTTCTGCTTTGTGTAAACAAGCCAAGCATCAAGCCAATATAGCACTGTCATTTACACAGAAATACCTCTCTCACACACTCCAGGCTATTATTTGCTCCTGTCCAAGTCTCCCTTTCCTCTGGCCATCACTAGACAGTATTAGCAGAACAAACGGCCCACATCCAGCTCAGACAAAACCCTCAAGCAATCCGTGTCAGGCCTGCAGGTTCTCTTTGGTTGTAAATAAGATGTAATGTCTGAGGATCTAGCCACTGTCTGCAGAGAAGCATCTTGTTAGAAGCCGAAACAGGCAGAGGAGAAGACCTTCAGAGAGTTCAGCTGAAAATGACCAGACCGTGAAAAAGAAAATCCAATTACGCAGAGATATCCGAGCCCACCCGAGAGCAAATACAACTCGATTTTACTTCTCCTTCAGCTTTTGTCCATGCTATGCAGTTCCTAAGGTATTCTGTATGGTTTTGGGTACGTTACATTCTGGGTCTAATTGACCCTTCACCAAAAATCATGAAAAAATAAATAAATCAGGTAAACCTTTAATATGAACAGCCTACTTCTCACACATTACAAAACTGCATAATAAGGACATATTTTATACATAGAAATGAATATTCTAAATAGTATTTTAAATAAAGGCCTATTTTTATTTCAAATTAACATTTTTATTTTTTAATTAATTTTAATCTACGCACGGCAAATGACAAGATCATTCACATCCCAACAAAACTCACATATATGAACTGATAAAAATGTACTCTTTCAACGCAGCATATTTCTTTGAATAAAAGTGTCTGCCAAATGCATAAATGTAAATATGCCCTCAGAGGGTAGAGAAACAGATATAACAAAATACATAAAACTTTTTTTTAAATTTTAAATCAAATTCACCCACTAACCCCATGCGGCAATTTTTATTCTTTTCTGGCCAAACTATATTTTAAATATATGCTAAATATATGTTTGTAAACAGTGAGGCTCAATTAAATATATTTTTGAAATTGAAAATATATTTATTTTCCGCCTACCAAAATATATTTCAAAATGTATTTCAGAGGCAAGAAAATAATCTTATGGATTTATAATGACCATAGATGCAAACTCCTCACATTTCGGTGAAAACTCACCTTTTTGAGATCAAAATAGGTCACCTACGAGATTCGTGTAGATCCCTAGAAAATGTTTTTGTTTTTGTTCGTTTCATGATAAGTGACAGGTTTGGACATACAAGGTAATAAAAACAAAAACAATAATAAAAAAAACAATGTGTCTGACTTAATAATGTTAAATTTTTTTATATATTGTAATATTGTAATTTTCGGAACATTGTGAAGTATGTTTCTTGTTGAATTTTATTAAATTGAGTTATATGTTCACACGAGTTATAGACAACAAATAAGATTTTTCTTCACATGTGACGTGTGAATGGATTTTTTTTTTAAATATACTTTAAAAAGTATACAAAAAATGACCAAAGAATGTATTGGTAGGCAATATATTTATGTAAATATATTTTGAAACATTTTAGCAAAAATATTTTAATAATACAATTTTTGTATTAATTGTATAATTTTATATTAATTGTATAATATAATTTTTGTATTAATTCAGATTATTGTATTATAATTATTATTATTATTATTATGTGCCACCTTTATAATAATAATTAATATTATTATGTGCCACTTTTATAATAATTATAATATTGTAATATTATTAGTATTATTATTATGTGCAACCTTTATAATAATAACACTAATAAAAACAAGTAATTAAATAACATAATAAAATGTTTATAATTATAATTTTTATTGTTATATTTATAACAATAATAATAATAATGATTACGACCTGGATAAAGTGAGGAGACGGCAACTTAAACTAGGACAAAAAGTATGAAGAGAAAACGTAATGAAAGGAGAAACAGGCGTAACGACGCAGAGGTGAGATTATGTATTTGGGCTTTCAGACGCTTGCCAAAACACGACTTCTTGCTGTTGTTGTAAATGTGAGGGAAAAGCACTAGTTGTTTAACTAGATTTACATTTCCTGAAGACAGCAAAAGAGTTTTGAAATTTTAGTTAATTTTTAGTTTTAGGCCTCGGTGAAAAAGTATATCTCTTGAATGCAGTGTAAGTGAACTTGATGTACTAAAATAAGTAGAACTAAAAATAAAATAAAACAATTTACAACTATATATAGATATTTTTAAAAAACTATTCTGATAAAAAACACAAAATCACTAAATCGGTAACAAAAATGTACAGATAATATAATATACAAGTTTAAATGTAGTTTAACAACATACAGGCTTTACAGGAACATTTATTATATTTTTGTAATGCCACTTAAAATGTTTTTTAATTTGCAATAATTTACATTTCTTTATGTATAACAAATATATTTTTATATATAATATTATTGTATACATTTCATGCTTTTCCACTAAAATTAAACTTTTGTTACATCAAATAAAATCTAAAAAACCTTAAAGGGGTGGTTCACTGGTTTTTTTTCTAAGCTTGATTGTGTTTATGGGGTGCATGTTAATGCTTAGTTTAAAAAAAAAAAAACGCATTATTTTTCACATAATTCACCTTTATTTTACACCGCTCTGTCCCTTCTCTGAGAAACGGGCTGATCAT